GTGAACTGTGTGACATTGATGTTCCTTTTCTTCATACTGAAACACAACAGATGAGGTCAGTTGTTTATAAATATAATTGTGAACTGTGTGACATTGATGTTCCTTTTCTTCATACTGAAACACAACAGATGAGATCAGTTGTTTATAAATATAATTGTGAACTGTGTGACATTGATGTTCCTTTTCTTCATACTGAAACACAACAGATGAGGTCAGTTGTCTGGTTTAGAAATAAAACTGTCAGATGAAATGGAAGACTTCAGTGTTAACTGACAACTTGGAAGTAACAGGCAACAGGAGACCTCTTCAACAGGAAGTCAAGATTTCTATACTTGGAAGAGGCTCTGGAATTGTTTGGTTTTTATGACAGAAGTACATGATAGGAATTGACCTCAGTCCCAACATGTTGTCAGTATACTCCGACCGGATGGCTTTGTGGTTAGAGTGTCTGCCTCCGGAGCAGGAGGATGTGGGTTTGACCCCATCCGGTGACATACCAGTCCTTTATAAACAGTACCTGCTGTCTCCCTGCTTGGCAGTCAGCACTTAGGGGTTAAAGCAGGGGCCTGGTCAGGCAGAGAACGACATTGTAGGTTTGACAGTACTCAGCACTTCATGCGGCAGCAGGGCTGTATCCTCCCCAGTTAGGCGAGATCGTTTACACAGATTGTGAAGACCAGGTGTCTATTAGTATTTGTTATATATATGTAATGCACCAGCACATAACTGTAAAGTCTACTGAACATATCTATATGGAATTCAGACTTAAAATATATATATATACTATTATATTATTATTATACTCCAGTACAGTTACCACTTTTACACATAAGAATTTACACATCATCTTTTTTGCAAAGTGTCCCTAACCCTTTACAAGAAACCAAAAAAAAAAAAAAATTATGATTGGGTGCACAGAATCAGTTTATGTTGTGACTGGGAGAACAGAGTCAGTTTATGTTGCAATTGGGTGCACAGAGTCAGTTTATAATGTGATAGGGTGCACAGAGTCAGTTTATAATGTGATAGGGTGCACAGAGTCAGTTTATAATGTAATTGGGTGCCCAGAGTCAGTTTATGTTGTGATAGGGTGCACAGTGTCAGTTTACGTTGTGATAGGGTGCACAGAGTCAGTTTACGTTGTGATAGGGTGCACAGAGTCAGTTTATGTTGTGATATGGTGCAGAGTCAGTTTACGTTGTGATATGGTGCACAAAGTTTACCTGTCTTATAACATCTCGGAGTGTCAAGTGGTCATGGAGAAGCTTTCCTGAGTATATTATCTTTTGCTGGTCCTCTTTCTGCAACAAGAAAATATTTATAATTCTAAATAATCATTTTTTCTTTATTTCTTCATTTTTTCATTTTTTTTCAATTGTATTGATTCCTTACTGTTTGTCTGTAAACTACTTTACACAAAAAGAAATGAATGGATTTTGATGAAATTTTCAGAATAGGTCACAAATGGACCTCGGAAGAAATTATTACATTTTGTTGCTGGTCTATTACTAGTAATTATTAGTTAATTAAGTCAAAAAGTAAGGAACTGATTTTATGAAATTTATAGGATACTGCAAAAACTTGAACATTTTGTCACTTGAATATTTAAAAATGCATATATCCTGCAAGACTTTCAAAATTATTGAGCGGCCCATATTCACAAAATTTTCGAAGTGAAAAAAAAAAAATCAGCAAAGGATCACCTTCCAATAAAATTTTCAAGGCTGACAAAAATTTCCATGTTTTTGCCGAAGTTCACAAAAGAAATAATTAGATTTTAGTGATGATCTATTAGTGAATGAATAACCATGATCCATCGATTAATAAATGATTATTTATAAGTTAATTTTTTTGTCTTGGCAGAGATCTGCACTCTCTGAATGCTTTTTAAGTCAACTTATAACCCATCTTACACCAAGGGGCACAAGTGATCTGGTTAGTGTAAGCAAGACCACAGGAGGGGACATAACAATAGCATTGTTCAACCTCCAACAAAGCTAATTTACCAATACAGGGATTTGTCCTGTTCTTTCTTTCTCTCTCTCTCTCTGTTTGTGTGTGTGTGTGTGTGTGTGTGTGTGTGTGTGTGAAGTTCCTACCGGTTTACTGGGATAACTCTGTGTGTGTGTGTGTGTGTGTGTGTGTGTGTGTGTGTGTGTGTTGAAGTTCCTACCGGTTTACTGGGATAACTCTGTGTGTGTGTGTGTGTGTGTGTGTGTGTGTTTAAATACCTACCGGTTTACTGGGATAACTCTCTGCCAAGTGTTCTTTCAGTTTTTTCACAGTCCAATTCAAACAACAGGCAACCTTATGATCGTCAATCTTTTGGTTTGGAGCTTTGACTATCAGAGTGACGGGCGAGGAGCTGAGTAACTGATCCATGTCTCTGCTGCACAAAATATAAACAAACCACATATAAATAAGCCACATATATGTAACAGGGTCGGTGACACACATCAATCGAATCGGTAATTTCCACACTTTGTTTATAATTTACATGTACATCTCCACAATAAATAGAAACATAAGTTGGGGTTGGTCTAGCTCTAAATCTCAAAGTTTAGCGCTGATAACGAAGAACAACCTACCAAAACGCTCAAGTAGTTCCAAAATCTTCCCCAACTTCCCGTATCCTGGTTTTGATGATGGCAGTCACGTGACCTGCATAGTATTTGTCGATTTCTGATTGGTCAATTTGCTGCCAATTTTGGAGCAGAATAATTCTTGTCACATATTTTTCAAAGAAAAATACAATTCTAGATGGTTTATTGTATATTTTCTTTAAAATTTGTGTGATAATTCATAACAGAAGGAAAAAAGAAAAAAATAGATATGACCCTGACCTTGCAAGAAGTTGACGCAATGTCTGGAGTACACCTAACGCAATCACTAACAAACTCGCCTACATGTCGGGGTATGCTGGCATGAAATGTGTTGCAAATAACTTGCAATGTTCAATAAATTTATATTTCATTCAATTAAATTTCTTGTTATTCAATGTTTTTCATTTTCTTGCCATATTCTGTTTCTTTTTCATCAATGTTGTTTCAAAATTTTACATGCAATGTTCTTTTCTTCATTCAATGTTGTTTCAAAATTTCCTGCAATAGCTAGAGGCCTACTTTTTTTTTTTTTTCATTCAATGTTGTTTCATTTTTTATGTAGTAATTTTTCATTCGTTGTTTGTGAGAAGGGAATTGTGGGTTGACTTAGAAACAAAGGTGTTCATCTCGTATGTGGAAAGATTGATCAAAGTTATCATCATGTCTAGGCCTTTAGGAAGATCTAGGCATAGGCATATATATATATATATATATATATATATATATATATATATATATGGTCTCTCCAAGAGATTGAGTTTGAGGCAAGTTTTATATTTTTTGCTTTTAGCATTTTCCCAGATAATTCACCCACAGGAGACGTTGCGACTCTCCTCCATGCATAGACATCTCATAGAGTTTGGAACGTTTAAGGGGTCCGCCATAGGCCCTATAGATAAACGTCCTAATAAATTTATATTCGTCCGGATAGATACGTCTCTATACATACACGTCTCAATAGATTTACGTCCCGTTAAATTTACGTTCTGATAGATCCACCAACAGATTCCTATAAACCCACTTATCTTTAGATCCAGGTACAGCTAGATGTATCTGACATCGTAGGTAGGCCCTATATGAGTCTTTCGAGTGATAGTCTGACTGCGAGTACTGACCCACTTAGTGATCTGACTTAATTACAACCTGATATTTATTACTTATTATTTATTAGGTATATGGTAAGCTATAAAAAAAGGCGCAAATTCCCTTAGAAAACGAATTTCACAAACTGCAAGACTTAATTTTGCCAGTCCATTTTTGTTCTAAATCATCAATCCAAACTATCCAAGAGCACTTTTACAATTAGTTTGAGTTTATTACTATGATCAGAATTCAACAGAAGTAGGCCTTACCGGATTCAAGGTCAGTCCGAATGCGGTTTCAAAAGAGGAAAACTGACTTCCCACGCCTGTGAAAATAAAAGAAAGGAAAAGCGAGAGAGAGGGAGAGGAGCAAAGAGTATTGATTTCATTTGGAGGTTAATCAGCTCGCTGGACCAAGCTGAAAAGACCTAAAATACACACACGAGAGACATGTTTACCTGTACTTCAAATTTACTCTCAGTCACCTTGCGAGCTCTGCAACTTTGGGAAAAACGCAGTAATGTGAATGAATTGAGCAAGCAACAAGCTAACAATAAAAATATTAAAACTGGCTATTGTAGTCTGTGTTGGATTTCCTCAGTGCAATTGCAACATAGATTCTTTGACTGCCAACCGTAAATGTTCCATTTGTGCCAATCAAAATCTTTACAATGGTGTCCAAATTGAGAGCTTTTCACTAAATTTGAGCAGTTCCTGACAGGGGGATCTGAACTCTTACATGCTTATTCTTTTGCTAACCACCTCCACAATGCAATTAACAAAGTCAAATAAAGCCATGAATACATATTTATTTTGCTCAGCAATAATTAAAGCTAACATCTAGAGATTCTGGTATATAAATTATAGAGAAATATTACACGAAGTTAATGAGTACAGAAAAATATTATATATAAAGTTAATAAATACATCCAGACATGCAGTTTCTCTGTAAAAAGTTTAAAAATGACAACCCCGTTTCTTCACTAAAGAAGAATTAAAATTTAAAAAGTGATCCTAAATCTAAAATAATATTTAATACCATACATCTATAAAAAAATAATAATAAAACACTCCTCACCCTGGCAAAATAACAGTGGAATAATGATGTCTTGTACAGTATGAGGTAACCAATAAATATGCCTTCATATGAGGCCATGGATACATCTGCCTTCCCGGATACATCTGCCTTCACGGATACATCTGCCTTAACCCATCATGAAGTCTATCTGAGATGTTCTATTCTGAATGGCCCCAAAGGTATAGATGGAAGTTAAGAAAGGAATACTTATCAAAAGTACTATTCAAAATTGCTCTTATAGTGTATAATTTAGTGTTATATTTTTAAAAAGCTGCCTTTCTTGTCTTGTATGAGTTTAGTGACTCATATAAATAATCCTTTGTAAAAGAATTATAGATAAAGTTTGTGTACAATGAAGCTAACAAATACATAAATTCTTAACCAAGATCAAATATATAAACAGCATCCACTGTATTGAAATCTTGAATTGGTTGAACTAACAGTAGAATATGAGAATATGATTATGCAGTAACATTTAAATAGAGTTAGTACAGTCAATACTACTCATATATACCCTAGAAAACAGTACAATACCAATAAGGCTTTAGAAACACACTGAAGCATTGTCTAAAGTTTTCATTTTTGCCATCAAAATAATTATAGTAATTTTAAGCAGAAAACAGTGCATATATATTTATGCTATTCCTTGTTTAAAAATGTGAAAATTCATATCAACAGCTGCTAGTAGTTACGGAGCCAACATGACAGTCAAATCCACAATGGAGGCAAATACAACAGGCACAACACATTTACCAAATATAGTTATTTAGTCACACATAAGAGGAAATTTTTCCTTTAATTTGAAAAATTAATATACTATAACAAAGTGTTCCTACAAAATGGTGATGTAGAAGTCCACCCTCTGTACTGCACTGTACTTACTAGCACACATCAGATGCTCACACTTGAAAGTTTTATCAGCAGGGAAAATGAATTCTACAGAAAATTTCCAATATAATGCACTACTGCCATTAACTATGAATTAATCTCCAAAACTACTTGAAGCTGAAACTAGTTCCAAGTGTAGACAACAAATCTGAAAAGCACCAACATTAATGAAATAAGCAGGATGGGATATTGAAATGCTTCCTTTTCTGACTGGGCACTCAAGCAATTAATTATTGCTCAAACATACTGTATAAAAACAACTGAAGCACACTTGAATATGAAAATACACAGAGCAGTATAAATGTCTTATAACTACATAGAACAGGCATAGCATAATGAAGTAATCAGCTGATATCAGCAAAAATGCTGACAAAATATAAAATATGACACGCGGTAAAACGTATAAAATGGGAACAGTGAATTTACACATAGCAAAGCAGCACCGTCAGTAGCAAGTAATTGCTTACTAGCACGTATGGCAAAATAACAGCTTTAGAAGCAAGATGTCAATAAATAGACACACACTGAAGATACAAAATAAAATAAAGTTAACACTATTTCCACCAGTGGGCACCACTTACAGATAGATCTGTACACGCTTTCACCACAAATTATATTTGGTATTTTTTTTGGGAATTTTTTTCATTTAAATTAACATCAAATCATTGTGATGACATTAACATGCAGCTAACAATAGTTTGATGACTGGTCAACAATGGGCAGTGCCTTAAGGTCTAAGCATCACTTCAATGTATCAGTTAATTCTTTTTTCATAAACTTAAATCGGCATATACATACATTACTAGTATTTGCAGCTATTGGGATTACTGAGAGATTGGTTGAGCTCTATGATACAGTTTAGCTAGCAAGCTTAGGTCAGTTCTCTGGAATGACTAATTACATATACTGCATTAAACCAGTCTCTGTCTACATCGTATACCAGCACACATTGAAATATGCCCCCTTTAAGCCAGTCTCTGTCTACACTGTACCAGCACACACTGAAATGTGACCCCCCCCCCCTTAAACCAGTAATCCTTCTACAGTGTAACACCACACATCAAAACAAAACTTGCACATATTCAGAGAATAAACAACCCCAGCCAAGGAATGCATAAAAAATCAAATAATATAAATTTTACCACTAACATATGATAAATCTCACTGATGTCCAACTTTTTCTATGCAAATAACCGTACATTTCAAATAGCACATGTACATGCAAAACATCTAACCTTCATAAGTTCAAAAGTTCCTTGGTTTACAACTTGGTCCATATAAACATTACAAACAAATCACCTGCTCATGAGATATTAAAATCTACTTGAAATACCATATAACAAACGTCCCTATTATCCAAGGGAAGTTAACACTAACTGGACAGCTGGTCATACACAGTATGTTTAAAGCATTCTGGAATGTTGGAATTCTTTATAAAACTTGGCTTCAAAAATATTGATTAATGTGACTGCTTACAAACATTCTGGTCATTGATACAAAGTATTTGAAATCATGGTTAAAACACAGTAATCTTAATATTTTTTCTTTTGAGAAAACAAGTTTGTGGACAAATATGCAAGAATTCGTATATTTCTTGCAATATTGACTTTATATTGTTTTATTACCTATCCAATTTCACGTAATTTTTTAATACAAACTTATAATTAGAAAACTATAAGAAAACCTGAAAACCCCCATTTGTCACTCTATAATGTTGCTTTGGTTTCAGTTGCAGCCAAGAGGAGCCAGTTCTCATGTCTAGCCAGAGGTCACTGTGGTTGTCTTCTGGGCACTGGTGCTGGTCTGACCACTGGTCACCACAGTGGCAAACAATGGCTGACCTCTCCACGCACGGAACGCAAAGAAGCAATGAATCCCAAAGATGATCATTGCAAAGCAGGAGAAGACCTAAAATAAATCATCCAAACATGATTACTAAATATATCAACTGATATTTTAAAGTAATTATTTAGTTCAGTAATTTTAACAAAGGTTTTGGTCTGTTAATAACTGTTCAATTAAATAAATGCATTTTATCGGGGGCGGATCCAGAGATATTTTCTGACAGTATTCCAAATTATATCTTTGTTCAGGCCTACCCAACTACCAGACTCGGCACCTAAGGATCCTGAATTAACCGGTATATCAGACCACACTACCCGTTTTCAAGGTGTGTGTAAGATCGCATTTCGGAGTATCAGCCAGGACACCGACAGGATGAGCCCTGGCATGCTTGGCTGTCACCTTGATTGGATAGTAAACGATTGTCGTAAAATCGCTATATGATTTTAAAACCGGGTGCACAAATTTGAAAGCCACCTAGATGAACCTTAGACTGCCACATTAATCTAATACAATGCAAAAAAGCCCTATCAAAAGTGGTTAAAACATTCAAACCAAATGTCATTAAGTCCCCATATATCCCCATAGAGACAATAAAATAGAGTACTCTAAAGTAAGAGTACAGTTTAAGGTTGTTCAGCCGAGCGTGGATGAGCCCGCAGTCGTGCTACAAAATTTGTTCTGGGGTATGATACTCCGAAATGCGATCTGACACACACCTTGAAAACGGGTAGCGTGGTCCGATATACCGGTTAATTCAAGATCCTTAGGTGCCGAGTCTGGTAGTTGGGTAGGCCTGTTTGTTGATCCATCCTCCACTTTTGAAGGTCTTCCAACAGAAAAATAGATACCCCTCAATATAAACTTTAAAATCTAACCGTCTTCCAGAAGACCCAGAAGACGGTCTCAATCCACCTGTTTTATCAAATGTAATTAAAAATCTTATTTAAATATTAACATTCAAACATAATTTAAACATATCCTGAAAGCTGCATGAACAATATATGTACTGATAAAGATTATGAATTTCCTTCCTTCTTCAACCAACACTTACAGTAGCAGCAATCATGGCTCCAAGATAACTGGTCGTACGAAAATACCAAAGGTACAGGATGGACTGATTGTTCTGGCCAGTCAAAACTGCAGCCACTATGAATGCTATGATCCAGAAGAGAAACATCACCACATAGTAAATAAATTCCTGAAATATATAACATAACATGTTAACAGTAGAGTAAAATATATAACTTGCTGAGACAGAAACTTAATCACTCTATAGGTACACAAACTATAGGTACTGAACAACTCAACTATCTTAAGGATTTTGTCACCCTTTTCCAAAAATTCCTTATTTACTGCCTTACATACTTTCTTTTGGGAAATAGATAAATCTTCAGTGTTCAATGACTAAATTAATTAACATTTTAGGCAGGGTTTTGGAGTACTAAATGGTGTCATGAAATTAGATATTTTGAAAGCAATGATTTCACAGAAAAGCAACATTTTGTCACAGAAGCTTTCCAGTGACGTCCTCACCAGTAGCAGCCACATAGAGATCCTGCTAACAAAGCCCAGGATGTAGAAGACAATGAGGAGAATGGAACAGATGAGTCCCAGAACAGCCACAAACACCACCCAGCCAAACCCACCATAAATTACTGCCAGGGATGCACAGATTAACACAATGAGGCTCAAAACCTGAAAAAACAGATAATTTCTTTGTTTACATATTTGTTCTAAAAATGGCAAAACACAACATTTAGTAAAGGACTACAGTATCCAATTATAATTCTTTTACCTAACGTATATTTCTGTTTTTTCCAATACTGAGCAGAATGATTTCATGACCTAGATGTATACAGTAGATTCTTTTGTAATGAAACTGATAAATACATGAAGAGGCAACTTTTCCAAGAACATGTGACCTACCAGGTAATGTCACTGTCCCACCAAACCATATTTATATCTGCAAAGTTTCTGTATTGTTTTTATACTAAATCAGTTTATATATGATCTTTATATATTAAATCATACATTACCTAGACAAAGATCAAAGTTGACAATTTTACTTTTGAGAAGCTGTTAGAGAAAAATATGGTTTTGAACAGCTTTAATTATCAATCAATATATGAATTAAAGAAAAAAGTTGGTAGACAGGGTCCAATGGACTTCTCTTACCAATTCCACAATCACAAATATCCCAGGCACAGTCTTCAGATAGTCAAAGCTCACAGAGATGTCAAAGGAGGATGTGGTGGTGGTGGTAGTGGTTTGTGTGGTGCTTGTCTCTGCCATTGTGATTTCTTCAGCAGATTATGAGAACCTTCACTGTCTTATTTAGCTGTAGAGTCTGAAAAGAAAACAATTACTACACAAATAATGAAATCAAACCAGCTAGCCAATGGGTACCCAGGAATAAACTATGACGGTATAAGCATACGGATAAGAACTTTGGGCACATTTAGATTCAGATAACGTACCAGCTGGGTCGATCCAACTCTGCAGGGATTCTTGCTAATCAATGTAATCAGCTTAATTAACTGTCTAAGATGCCTCCTCAAGCAGCTCAGGGATCCAAGATGCTCCTCAAGCAGCTCAGGGATCCAAGATGCCTCCTCAAGCAGCTCAAGGATCCAAGATGCTCCTCAAGCAGCTCAGGGATCCAAGATGCCTCCTCAAGCAGCTCAGGGATAATTAAGCTGAGCACACACAATAATTAATTACCCCCTTAATTAATTACTGCTACAAGAGACGTGTCAGACAATTCAGCTGATGACTAGTACACTGATTGCACTTTGCAATAGTTGGATGGGCCCAGCTGGTATATATATAATATCTGCATGGTATGATGCAATATTACTAATAATAAACACACTAAAACAACAATTCTTTTTTATCTGCACAAATGCACAAGTCTGGTGTCAAAAATCATTCTGCACTAGCTCTCATGCAGTTCCTAAAATATTGCAAACATCAGAAAAATAGAATAACATTTTCTGTGACATATTAGATGCATTGTTAAAGTGCTATGGCAGTGACACCTTTTACAATTTTTCATTTTTCAAATCTTGGCAGATCTGGAGATACAACAAGATATATCAATAATGCCTCATTATCACTTTGATTTATTATCTGAGTTTTAGGCATCAAGTCTATTAATTTCATTCTAAAAATAGCAGAAGATCAGTTAATGATAAGAGCCTTAATTCTCTGGGTCACATTTCTTCTACAAAACCAGGCAACATCCTGGTAATAACAGAGTTTTAGTTTTGTAATAAAGTTGTTGTGATGCATTACTTTTCTCTCCACGCGAATAACTCAAGTCAGGAATTGTGGGTAAACCTATGTAGATCTTCCTGAGTCAGATTAGTATCCTTAGAAGTAACTGAACTTATTACATACACAAATCTTGTTGTATATTCGAAACCCTTTCAGAGGACATCAGGGAGGACAGGTCACTTAATTTGACCCTGGTTTGACCCTGGTCAACAGACCACCACCCTCACCTCTCTGCACCAGAGGAGGTCACATCAGGGAGGACAGGTCACTTAATTCTGGTTTGACCCTGGTCAACAGACCACCACCCTCACCTCTCTGCACCAGAGGAGGTCACATCAGGGAGGACAGGTCACTTAATTCTGGTTTGACCTTGGTCAACAGACCACCACCCTCACCTCTCTGCACCAGAGGAGGTCACATCAGGGAGGACAGGTCACTTAATTCTGGTTTGACC